AGACCAGGCTGGTCTCAAACTCACAGGGATCTGCCTGCTGCTGCCTCCCTAGTGCTGGTATTAAAGACATGAGCCACCACTGCCTGGCAATCAGCTTATCTTATCAGATTGCAATACTTTAAAGTAAGAATTCAACAGCAACACAAATTGCATAAAAGCTACAAACTCATGGAAATTGAATAACACACAATTGCATCATTCCTGGGTTGAAGAAGAAATAAAAAACTAAATTAAAGACTTCCTAGAGTTTAATGAGAATGTAGACACAACATACACAAACTAGGGGACACCCTGAAAACAGTGCTAAGAGAAAAGTTCATAGGACTAAGTGCTCACATGAGGAAACTGGAGAATAGTCACACTAGAGAATTGACAAAACAACTGAAAGCTCTAGAACAAAAGGAAGCAAACTCACAAGGCAGGAGTAGATGCCAGGAAATAATCAAACTGAGGGCTGAAATTAATAAAGTGGAAACTAGGAAAAAATTATAATGAATCAATGAAACAAAAATTTAATTCTTTTCGAAGATAAACTACATAGACAAACCTCTATCTAAACTAACCAAAAAGGCAAAGAGAAAGCACTCTAACGAAATCATAAATGAAGAGGGGAATATAACTCCAGACATGGAGGAATTCCAGAGAATCATCACGTCATACTTTGAAAACCTGTACTCCACAAACTTGGAAAATCTAAAGGAAATGGACAATTTTTGGGATAGATATCACTTACCAAAATTAAACCAAGAACAGATAAGCAGTTTAAATGAACCTATAACCCCTAATGAAATAGAAGCAGTCATCAAAAGACTTCCAACCAAAAACAGCAAAGGGCCAGATGGCTTCACTGCAGAATTCTGCTAGAAATTCAAAGAAGAGCTATTACCAGTACTGGTCAAATTGTTCCACACAACAGAAGCAGAAGGGACATTGCCAAACTCTTTTTAGGAATCTACAATTACTTTGATACCCATGCAACACAAAGATAAAACTAAAAAAGAGAACTACAGACCAATATCCCTCATGAACATCGATGCAAAAATACTCAACAAAATATTGGTGAATTGAATCCAAGAATACATCAGAAAAATCATCCACCATGACCATGTAGATTTCATACCTGGGACACAAGGATGGTTCAACATACAAAAACCCATCAATGTAATCCACCATACAAACAAACTGAAGAAGAAAAACCACATGGTCATCTCACTAGATGCTGAAACGTCCTGTCCCTTCATGATAAATATCTTGGAGAGACCAGGAATAACAAGTACACAGCTAAACATGATAAAAGCAATATACAGCAAACCAACAGCCAACATAAAACTAAATGTAGAGAAACTCACAAGGATTCCTCTAGAATCAGGAACAAGACAAAGCTGTCCACTCTCTCCACATCTCTTCAATATTGTACGTTAAGTTCTAACTAGAGCAATAAGACATGAAAAGGAGATCAAGGGGATACAAACTGGAAAGGAAGAAGTTGAACTTTCACTATTTGCAGATGATATGATTGTCTACATAAGTGACCCTAAAAATTCTACCAGGGTACGACTACAGCTGATAAACACCTTCAGCAAAGTAGCAGGATACAAAATTAACTCAAAAAAATTAGTAGCCTTACTATATACAGATGGTAAATGCAATGAGAAAGAAGTCAGCAAAACAGCACCCTTCACAATATCCACAAGCAACATAAAACATCTTGGCATAATGCTAACCAAAAGAGTGAAAGACCTGTACAGTAACAACTTTGAGTCTTTAATGAAGGAAATTAAAGAAAATACCAGAAAGTACAGAGATCTCCCATGCTCTTAGATAGGTAGAATCACCACAGTAAAAATGGCAATCTTGCCAAAAGAAATCTACAGATTCAATGCAGTACCCATCAAAATCCCAACACAGTTCTTCAATGACCTTGAAAGAAAAATACGCAACTTTATATGGAAAAAAAAAAACCCAGGATAGCAAAAACAACCCGGTACAATAAAGGAACTTCTGCAGGTATCACCATCCTTGACTTCAAGCTCTATTATAGAGCCATAGTCCTGAAAACAGCTTGGTATTATTCCCAAAACAGACAGATAGACTGATGAGTCCCACAGAAACAGCTGGTCTGAACAAGGGGGAGGTCATGGGGCCCAGTCTGCTTTCTGGGAGGCCAGCACGGGACTGATCCAGACCCCTGAATGTGGATGTCAGTTAGGAGGCCTTGGCACTCTGTGTGGCCCCTGGTGGTGGATCAGTATTTTTCCCTAGGCCTTCCCCTCCGTGGGGAGCAGAGGGGATGGGGGGTGGGGGCTGGTGGGGGGTTGGGTGTGAGGTGAGGGAGAGTGAGAAGGGATTGACATGTGAAGCATGCTTGTTCCTAATTTAACTAATAAAAAGTAAAAAAAAAAAAAGAATTCCCCAAATATAGATTCTTATGAGAGAATAATATACTATTTTTTGTTATTTAATTTTGCAATAAAGGGGTTTTTCAAAGTGTGTATTAGGATTTTAAAAGTAAATACAATATATTCAATATTGTACATGAGAATTCAGGACATTACTATGTGCTTAGGCATATGTTCATAATTATTGAATGTCCCACTCTATAATTCAAACACATATTTATTCAGTGTGAGAGCAATGAAAAAAAGGGTCATTACAGTTTAATTAACACACTAAGATTAAGTTGTGTTTTTAAGTGTGTGTATGTGTATACATGTCTACAGATGTACATATATTGTGTATTTAAGTGTATGTGCTCATGAGTGCACGCATCAGAGAACACATATGGGTGGGTCTGCCTATGCATGTGTATGAGCACACGTGTGTGTGTGTGTGTGTGTGTGTGTGTGTGTGTGTGTTTGTGTGTAGTATTTGACTGCTTTGCTACTATAGGATAACATGATAGTCAAAATGGTTATGTCTTTGTAATGAGCAATAACTCAGTTTTGTCAACTATTGATTTGGTAGTCTTTATGAATCAGAAATTAAGAGAAGTTTAAATGAATGCCATGAATATCAAATATATAATCATGATGTCAATAAATATTCATTATTTTTCATTTTGAAAACAATGTAATACACTCAAATGTTGTATTTATAGAAATTGCCAATGCTGTTTGTGAATGCATGTTAATTACAAATTGGTAAATTCAAATAAGGCTATTCAAAGAGGATGTCATATATTATATTTTGTTTCTGTTCATCTTCCTGTCCCAACTTCTTGACTTAATCCCCACCCAAATTTGCATCCTCATTTTTGTTAAACCCATTGAGTAAAACTATTGCGGGCTAAATACTCTTGCTTGAGTCTGCATCCAATCACTGGAGCATAGTCAAAATATAAACAAAGAATGTAAAAAATGAAATATTTTTCAAATAATGTAATAAGTGTGTAACAGAAACATTAAAAAAAATCCAGGCATGACAGGCGGTGGTGGCACACACCTTTAATCCCAGCACTTGGGAGGCAGAGGCAGGCAGATCTCTGTGAGTTCGAGGCCAGCCTGGTCTCCAGAGCAAGTGCCAGGATAGGCTCCAAAGCCACAGAGAAACCCTGTCTCGATAAACAAAAACAAACAAACAAACAAACAAAAAAATCCAGTCACTCTCTTATCTCAAAGGTGATCTCTAATGTTTAATTTTTCTGTAAAGCTCTTGGAATATTTTTAGATAAATGAATCATTAGAATAAGTCTAAGACAAAGTGTGTTATTATTTCATCATTTTATGAAGTATATTTAAAAGTGGTTAACATGAATAGATTTTAATACATGAATTCATATGTAACATAATTTTGACTGTAATTTTAGTTCTAGTTCTGCAATGCATCTTATGTATATCGCAGCATACTGCAATAATAGTTAGAATATACATTAAGTGATTACTTCCCTGAGATGGCTATGATACTTACTAATTCAGATTCAGTAATGATTACTCAGTCTGAACTCATGAGTATTTACAGCTGCTCAATCGTATAAACCTAATTTGTTCCTGGCCTTTACATTTTGTTAAAACAATTACACATACTTTAAATATCAACTTCAACTTAATCAGAATAGTGTCACATTTTTCCTCCTTGGGATTATGTTTCCTATTACTCTACACATAAAATATTCCTCTGTAGTCGTATGTAACATTGTTCAAAGGATATAATTTAAATCTCTCTGTTTTGGTGAACAAAATCAGTAGCTAAAAATATTTTCTCTAACAGGCTTCCTTTTCAAGTATTGGGTAATAGTTCAATTGTGAAAATTAAGAATTAACTCATAAGAAGTCATGAGTTGTTAAGAAACATTTCCATATCCCCCTCTTTGGTTTCTTTCAAATTCATAGTCTCTTCTTTTCATTAACTGTTACATGTCCATATCGATAGGACAAAGGTCTCAATGGGCCTCAGACCTGACAACCTCCTTATTGGTGGCAAGTTTTCAAGGTGCCTGTGGAGGACATGGAATGTTCAAAGAAAGGAACCAACCAACAGTCATACCCAAGTATCACACCTAAACCCATATCAAAAACTGCCACTGTATAATAAAACTAAGGGTACAGCAGTGCCACACATATTTTGGTGGCAAGCAATAGTTCTGTATTTGAACTTAGGATTTGTTCAATAAGAGGGAAATCAGACCTGGTACTGGAAATCTAGCGTGTTACCCAAGCCTAGTGAAGTCATGGATGTTGGAGGAAAACCTCCAACTGACATTTTACTAAATCAGCATACTACATTCTAAATGTTTGGTTTTATATTCACAAATAAGTGGATGTCGTGATGACTAATTTTGGTTGTCAATTTGTCTACTTGTGAAATAAAATAAAACTCAAATAGATTGGACACTTAGTGAAAGATTTTTCTCAATTGGATGGCTTGAGCTGTGACGATAAGCCTTAATTCTGGGGTGTTGATCTTAGAAGACCCATCTCAAATGTGAGTCGGAACACCTGGTGACAGCTTTCATAAAAGGACATGTAAGAAGAAATTTTTTGCTTTTTTCTGCTTTCTCTCACCTGCTTGCCTTTATTCTCATCAGCTTGTCTTCTGTCTTGATACAGAGGCATTGTTTCTGTATATAATTATTTTGTGTGGTTTATCATAGGATGGATACCAGGTGAGACATCCAGATGTGTGGATTGAGTATCTACTGGGTTCTTCACCTTTCTACCAGAAGACTGTAGCCTCTAATCCATCCAGATAAGTCCTATTTATAAAATGGCAAAATGGCATTATGTATATATGGTAAATTAAATACACATGTGCGCGAGCGCGCACGCGTGCGCGCTTGCACACACACACACACACACACACACATACATTATTCTCTAAGTTACATCATCTAGAGCAACCTGACCAATACAGAACTCCAATTCATTGTCCCAACTAGTAAATCTCATGCTGTGACATAATTTTGGAAGACAGAAGGAAGAGAGGCCAATATGAAAACAAGATAGTTAAATTGTAGGCTCAAGCTACCTAATAATCATCGGTAAAGAATTTATGAATTTGTGATCTAAAGAAAGTAATCTTAATATATTAATGATTTTCAAACTTCAATTTTGAGACCACTTTCCTATATTCATTTCCGTATTTTTCATGTTTGTCCATTAGCTGGCAGACCTTATACCAATTTAGTTATTTGAGCTTTTGATAAGATTGTGTGTATAACAGGCATCATAAATTTAGAATGAAATAAAGAGCATTACTTACATTATCATTCACTTAAATGATAACCTTATATTTCTAGTTGTTCAATATACAATTTTAGCCTTATCTGTGATTCTTCTCTTTTATCACACTGAAAATATTTTGGCTCAGCTTGTAAAGCATATGCCAAGTAGGACTTGTATGCTATTATTGTTCTTCACTTTTTTGTTTCATATGATAATGTCAGAACTTACTTTTTTTATATTCTGTCCTTTGATAGATAGTGTTCTCTTCAAATGAAAGTTGACCACCTCAGTGTTCTAAAATTATACTGTATTGGCATTCCATCTACATGGAAGTTAAGAAGTTTCAGGGTCAATTTTAATGCTTAAAGATGCTAAAAAAAATACTTCACAACTTATATTTCTGAGTGAAAAATAAAACTGAAGAAATAGGAATTTCAATAAATCTTAGTGGATTCACCAGATGAATAAAGTTGCAAGCAAATCACCCCCTTTATTTAGAGAGACTGCAAAATAGTTTCCTGAGTTAATATTGAATGAGGAGCAATGTAATCATCAATATTAATCCAATGCACATGGAAAAGTTAAAGTAAACAAGGAACATTTCTGCATTACCTTACTATAACTTTAATTCAATATCAATAGTAGAAACAAATTTATGGTTTTTCCTATGAAAACATTCAAGGTAAATATGGTTGCAGATTTGAATACTTCTCAGATATCCTTCTTTCAATTACAGTCTTCTATGTGCAATTCCTGCAAAGGTCTTTACTTCCAGAAAGCTTTTTTCTAATTTTTTCAAAATGAATTGCCTTACATGTATGTGACAAGGTTAGGGAAAGTTTTTACCATAGCATATGGTTAGAGGGCCTTTTCAGGGAGTTGGTTTTTTCCTTCCAACATGTGAGTCCCAGGCATAGAACGAAGGTTTTCAGGATTTGTGGCAAGTTCTTTACCACTAAATTGTCTCACCAGTCCTGAGATACCATTATTAGTATATGTATATGTTAATATTTATTCCTTAAGCATACCAGAAACAGTTGATAAAGATTCACCTTTAAATATGTAATCTTAACCATATTTATAGGGCTCATTTCCATTCTGAGTCCTAGGGCTTAGAATCTATAGCATATCCAGTTAGGTGATGTAGTACTGCTCATTAGGAAAAATTAGTTTCTATTTCCACTAATTCAACAATTCAGAAATAATGGAATTATTCTTCAAAAGAGATAAAGTAGTAAAAGTCACACAAGCAAAGTTAAACTCACTAAATATACTTTAAATACAAAACAATGCAACAATGACTATATTAATAATAAATAATAGTAGATTATCTAATTATTTTCACTGTCAAATTCTAGGTACATACATTTTATGAAAGAAAACTATAGACATCGTTTATTTTCTTTTGCTTTAATAAACACCATGATGAAAAATGACTTGGGAAGGAATGCATTTATATATATCCATCATGAAAGGATGTCAAATCAGGGACTTTAAGGCAGGAAGTGAAACAGAGTTAATGGAATTAATTTCTTCCCAAGGCTTGCTCAGCCTCTATTTCCATAGAGTTTAGGACCTCCTGCCCAAAGATGGTACTAACTACAGTGGAATGAGCACTTCCACATCAATCATTAATGAAGAAAATGCCAGACAGCTTTGTCTTGAAGTCAATAGGTGGGAATTTTCTCAATCAAAATTCCTTCTCAGATGAACTTAGCTTTTGTCCATCTGACAAGAAAAACTAAGACAAATCCTATCTTTTAAGAAAAAATGAAAAATTTCACAAAATATAAATGAATTAAATGGAGTAAGCATTGCCACAGAGAACCATGTCTCGAAAAACCAAAAAATAAAAAATAAAAAGAATAACATATAATAATAAAGTGAGAAAAGAATAACATATAATAATAAAGTGAGATTAATTTAAAGAATCCATGATTGTTTTTACATATGAGAAGTCTGTTAATCCCCTTATTTAGAGGCTGTAAGCAAATATACTCTCTGTAACCATATTCATACCAAAACTTCTCATTAGCCCAGTTAGACAAAGATGGAAGGACACCTATCACTTAGAATCTTCTAAAGAAGTAAAACTGTCTATATTTCCAGTTTGCATAATGTTGCAAGTATCAAATCCAAAATAATCATAAGAAACCTACAACCAAGGAGGTCCCAAGATAAAAGATTAATGTATAGAGACTGATTTCTGTCTTCAATGAGCAATTGTTATTTGAAATATGAAAATAATACTTACGCTGATAAAATATAAAACATTAAAATATGAACTTAGTAAAATGAAGAAAAGTTTATTTGTTAAAAATGCAAAGCAGGATTTATGAAATCAAGGAATAAGAATGTTAACTACCTAAATCAAAATATCTTCCAAATTAAACTTCTGTGTAACACAATAGTCTTACAATTTTATCTATAGCAAAATCAATCAAAATAATTTACCATATCTCTTTTTCATATGTTGGGAAATTAACTAAAAACTTTAAAAGGAACTTCAAAAGACCTATGATAGCTTACATATTGAAAGCTGATGTAATCAAAACAGTTTACCAATAACCTACTGTATAAATCATAATATGGGTATATATTTTAAAAATTCATACAGATTGATGAAACAAAATTGAAAAATTAGATATGATATGAAAGTAATTGTCATCATGGTGTGACTTTGATGTAATCATACCAGCCAGCAGCAGATGTGAGAGTTCCAGAGCCAGTGTAACCTACTTTGCAAGTGTGCTGAAAGGGATAGAGAATTAAACCCCATATCGAATTAAAGTGAACACCTTTATATTGTGTTGTTCGTATCAATGAATTCACAGAAAAACATACGGACATGGAGAAAGTATTTAAATATTGCTTATTTAATGAAAGATAAGTAAATATGTATAAATGTCTTTCCAACCATTTTAATGCAGAAGTGAGCAACCAATCTCATTTTAAAAGTAGACAAATGTTGTGCCTACATTCTCATTGAATTCTAGGAAATCTTTAATTTCTTTTATTTCTTCCTCAACCCAGGAATAGTGCAATTGGGCGTTATTCACTTTCCATGAATTTGTAGGTTTTCTGCAATTTGTGTTGTTGTTGAATTCTAACTTTAAGGCATGGTGGTCTGAAAAGATACAGGGGGTTATTTCAAATTTTTTGTATCTGTTCAGGTTTGCTATGTTGCCAAGTATGTGGTCAATTTTAGAGAAGGTTCCATGTGGTGCTGAGAAGAAGGTATATTCTTTTGTGTTTGGATGGAATGTTTTATAGATGTCTGTTAATCCCAATTGGGCTGTAACTTCTGTTAGATACTTTGTTTCTTTGTTAAGTTTCTGTCGGGTGTTTCTGTCTAGTGGTGAGAGTGGGGTGTTGAAGTCTCCCACAATAAGTGTGTGAGGTTTTTGTGTGATTTGAGTTTTAGTAATGTTTCTTTTATGAACTTGGATTCCTTTGTGTTTGGGACATAAATGTTCAGAACTGAGACTTTATTCTACTGGATTTCTCCTGTGATGAGTAGGAAGTGACCTCATTCATCTCTTTTGATTGATTTTAGTTTAAAGTCATATTTTTTGGATATTAGGATTGCTACCCCCATTTGTTTCTTGGCTCCATTTTATTGGAAAATCTTTTCCCAAACCTCACCCTTAACTCTTAGGTACCATCTGTCTTTGAAGTTGAGGTGTGTTTCATGTATACAGCAGAAAGATGGATTCTGTCTTCCTTTCCATTCGGCTAGGCTGTGTCTATTTCATAGGTGACGTAAGTCCATTAATATTGAGGGATATTAATGACCATTAATTGTTCATTCTTGTTTATTTTGGATTTGATGGTGGTGGTGGAGTTGTTTGTGGATTTCCACCCCATTTTTCTTTTGGCTGTTGGTAAAGAGGGATTATATATAGTCTAATTTTTTGGTTGTAGTTAACTTCCTTGGGGTGCAGTTTTATTTCCAGAGTTTTCTGTAGTGCTGGATTGGTATATATGTATTGTGTAAATCTGGTTTTGTCACCGAACATCTTGTTTTTTTCATCTATATTGATTGAAAGCTATGTTGGGTATAGTAGTCTGGGCTGGTATCTATGGTCTCTTAGTGTACATAGAATATCTATCCAGGACCTTCTGGTTTTCAGGTATAATTCTGACAGGCTTGCCTTTATATGTTACTTGACATTTTTGCTTTGCTGCTCTTAATATTCTTTATTTTGTATGTTTGGGGTTCTGATTATTATGTGGCAATGAGACCTTTTTTGTTGTCCACTCTATTTGGTGTTCTGTAGGCTTCTTGGACTTTTTTTGGCATGTCTTTCTTTAGGTTGGGAAAGTTTTCTTCTATGGTTTTGTTGAATATGTTTTCTGTACCTTTGATTTGGGTTTCTTTACCTTCTTCTATACCTATTATTCTTAGGTTTAGTCTTTTCACTGTGTCCCATATTTCCTGGATACTGTGTTTTAGGGATTTGTTGGATTTAAGCTTTTCTTTGGTTGATGAGTGTATTTCTCCTAGTGTATCCTCAACTCCTGAGAGTCT